GTATTGTTTGAAGTTTAATATGATTTTTGGACACTCACAGAAGAAATGAATCAATCTTGAATCATAATACTGTTTGACTGTAATATGGTGCAACCTTAATAAGGTCTTTAAATGAATGAAGTTTCCGCATATTAAAACAATAGTGAGTCATTTGATTTGAGATGTACGATAATATGGTTAAACGTAACTTCATAAAAATTTTCGAAAATTTGAAAAATATTATGGTGCAACACGTTTCTAATTTTCTAGCAGTGTAGACGAAAATGAAGTCAAATTGTTTGATATTATTGAAATAGTTAAATCTTTTTTCAAATTAAAATGGGAAAAAAATTAGAAAAATTAAGTTAAATTTTAAGAAAATTAATGAATAATTTATAAAAAAATATTTTCGATTTAAAAAGCATTTATCTACCATATAGCATTTTCATTTTGTAAACAACGTTAATTTTAAAAAATATAAATATCCAAAATGTTATTCTTTGAGAAGGTTGTGTTTCAACTATAAGAAATATTTTTTAAACAGATTCCAGTTTATGAGTTTAGAATTTAAGGAATTTTTAAAAAAATAGTTAAGACTTACATTTATAAATTATTTATTATTCTTTCAATTTATTCGAATTAAAAAATTAAAAAACTATAATTAATACTTATGATTATATATAAATTAAATATTTTAACACCTAAACCACATTGAGTTATTGGATGGTGATTTCATTTTATAAGCAATAATAAACATTTTATAAACAACATCAAGTTAAAAAATATTATTCCATGTGCAGGTAGTGTTTCAATTCAGAGAACTATTCTTCAAACTGATTGCTATGTATCAATTAAAAATAATAAAAAGAAATTGAAAAAATAATTTTATAATCGAATTATTTATATAAGAAATATTTGATCACTTAAATAATAATTATCTTCTAGGTGGTGTTGTCATTTTATAAAGAAGGAATAATCGCAACAAATAATTATATTAAAAATATAGTTCTCAACGCAGTCTGTGCTTAAATTGAGGAGATTGTTCTTTTAATCGATTTTAATTTGTCAATTAAGTATAATAATGAAAAAAATTTAAAAAAATTTATACTTACAATCGAATTATTTATAAGGCAAATATTTAACACTTAAATCACATTTATCTGCTAGATGGCGTTTTCATTTTATAAACAGTAATAAATTCAAAAAAAGTTTAATATCAAAAATATTATTCGTTGCGCAGATTGTGTCAAAACTAAGGACACTATTTTCCTGCTGATTCTTTTATTAATTAGTGCAAATAAACTTTGAACTGCATGCTTATTTCGAAAAACTTAGCTGAGTTGACGCAATGGAAAATATTCTTGAGGAAATTTGTCAGAAAAAAGTATGACGTCACTTTTCTTGAGACAAAGCTGATAGGATGAATAGACTAGGCACTTCTGTTGTTTGCACAGATCTCGAGTTCTGAATGCTTTCGAGTGGACGAAGTTTGCAATTCAATGCCGTATGGATAAATGCAACCCATGGTGAACGGCAAAAAACTGGTTCAATGAAAAAGTTTTGAACAAAATAGAAAATACAATGTCGATTAAAAGTTGCTGCGTCATTCTTACAAAATACCTGAAAAATGTACTTGAAATCATGAGTGCCTTACATCATGTTTCGTTGATTGGGTGTCATAAATGTAATTCTTAATGAAAGACAAACCATTAAAGAGGGAAGAGTGTTAAATGCATACAGATACTTTTAAGGAAAAGTTCAATGCACATTAATAAAATAATTAATTTTAATGTTATTTTTGATTAAATAGCTTTCTATTTGCGGTTAACAGTACTAAAAGTAATATAAATAAGTTATAAGTTAAGTTTTAGTTTTTTTTTCAATGCCGTATGGATAATTGTAACCAGTGGTGAATGGCAAAAAACTGGTTCAATGAAAAAAGTTTTGAACAAAATAGAAAATACACTTTCGATTAAAAGTTGCTACGCCATTCTTATATAAAATACATGAAAAATGTACTTGAAGTCTATGATGTTTCGTTGATTGGGTGTTATAAATGTAATTCTTGATGAAAGACAAATCATAAAAGAGGGAAGAGTGTTAAATGTATACAGATACTTTTAAAGAAAAGTTCAAAGCACATTAATAAAATAATTAACTTTTAATGCTATTTTTGATTAAATAGGTTTCTATTTGCTGTTAACAGTACTAAAAGTAATGTAAATAAGTTATAAGTTAAGTTTTAGTTTTTTTTCAATGCCGTACGGATAAATGTAACCAGTGGTGAACGGCAAAAAACTGGTTCAATGATGACTCTTATGCTAAAATAAAAAATAAAAAAATAAATAAAAAAATAATTCGTTATAAATAATAACCGTCGTTATAAATAAAAAAATAATTCTAAACTTGATAGTTATAGACAGGAATAATTCCAGAGTGCAACCTTTGCAAAAATTTTTATCTGCAAGTAGAGGCCAAAAAGAAAACAATTTTTGATTTTTTGAGAGTAACTTTCATCTACCGGTATAATATTGGATGAAATTTCGTATGAATATTAAAAAAGTTATTAGAAGATAAAGGTACTTTGAAAAAATATTTGAAACAAGAATTTTTTTTTTATTAAAAAAATCTACAAAACCACACATTAAAGATGATAGCTTATCCAGGAAATTTTATGACAGAAAGAACTACTCGTACCAGAAAAAGAATTTTTGTAACATAATTGAAGCTTGGTGGAATATCTTTCCTCATCAATAGCAGCCTGATATCTTCGAGTTCGTTAGGGAAACGATTGTACTTTTCAACATTTTCTTCCATTCTTTTTAAAGTTGTGCAAATTAATATACACAATTCCTTGCCTTTTTATGAAGTCTTCTTTCAACCTTTTCCCACCTAGATTCGATAATATTCTAGTCTGGGGATTGACTAGGCAATTCTAGACGATGGGCACCATTGTATGCCAAACCTGCTTGAATATGCTTGGAAAAATGCTTCGAATCAGTATCGTCGAGATAAAAAAAAATTTACGAAATATGGGAGTATAGTGTTCTTTAAAATATCTTTATTTAAATGTCAGTTCATTATACCACGGACGTGAAGCAAGGGACCCATACTTTGGGGGCTGACGAATCTCCAGAGGATCCATGATCTTAACCAGAATTTAACCATAGGTCTTTGAATCGATTTTTTTCAATAAGTGTTTTTATATTCATGATTCCATCAGAACTGAATGGCATATACTTGCTTCATAACTTCAAAATTTTTTTATTCCAATCTTGCCTAGTCCACCGTAGAGTTGCTTTAACCAATACCAAGCATTTTTTATTTTTATTTTTATATGAAATTAATAGTTTCTTGATTCTAATTCTCTATCTAATCTATCCTCTTCGACTAATCTTTGTCCTATTGTTCTAAGTGAATTATTAAGGAATTGAAATATCGGCACCAATTGGAGTTGAACCGTAGCGAGGTTTTTGGCGATTTGTACGTGAAATTTTTCATCAAGTTCCATGGTTGGTAGGGCGTAGTCTACCAGTCTATGGGTAGGGCGTAGTCTATCTCTGGACTTAACCACCCTAGATTCTCCAGCATTTGAAATATTTTGGGATAGTTGATTTGGACACATTGGACTGCTCTGAAAATCGAAGCTGTGTCATCCTTTGAATATGACCTCTAACGATGGCTTCTAGCTGTACCTTAATTACACTCCAAGAACTTTTGTTCTATCTATGATTAAAAATATCAATACAACATTGTATTATAAAGAAAAATATCCAAAATTTTTTTTCTCCACTACAGCAATTTGACAAAGTGTTTAAAATAGTTGAAACCAACATATTCGTGATTGGCACTGACAGTTTAAAAGTTGTTTTGATATCAATAATCAAGTATCAATAAATCAAGTTTATTGAAGGTAAAATCAAATTTTGAGAAAATAAACTCATATTTATTTTCTTCTTTGCTTAAAAGTTTTTCTCTCAATATTTTGAGAAAGAATTCTTCACCAATGTTTGCCCAATGTAGATAATTAAGCATATTTATTTTTAATTCAATATTTTTTGTATTTCGTGAGTAAAAACAAAACTTATTACTATACTAAGTTATTACTATACAGTTTAGGTATACTGGCAGAAATATATTTTCGAAACTTTGTATTTATAAGCATGGAGAAAAAAGAATTCGAACAAAATTACCGAACTATATATAATCACAGTCATGTAATAAAAAACAATCAGAATTATTCAAATTAAAATATACGTTAATTTTATATACGTTAACTAAAATATACGTTAAAATATGCGTTAAGAATTATCAAAATTAAAATATACGTTATTTAAAACCTTCATATTGAAATTTTCTCGACCATATGGTAAATGTTTTTTCAGAAATTCTGGTTTTCGAAATAGCTCTTATTACTTTACATTTAGTAAAAAATAATACACAGCTGAAAACTAAATTTAACCGCATAAATGGTTTCTTTGACATACTCTTAGGTATCATGATAAATTTACTAAATTTTCCCATGCTTGCTTAATTTTTATCACGTATTACAAAACCATACTTTATCGTTAAATTTACCGAAGCGCGTCGATAGAAATTACCGAGGTTTTCGGTACTCCTATAGAGCCAGGAATATTGTAAATATTTCTGGTAGTTTTGACCATATATTTTCCAATTTAGGGTCAAACATTAATATTTAAGCTGGAACAAAAGTGGTGTCAAAATCTGATGAATTCGTATTGAGGGCTATCAGTTTTTTTTTTTTAATTTTTCATCTGTTTCAGGTTTTTTGAAATTTTGTATTAATGGTAGTGAATAGAAAGTATCCAGTATACTAGTTTATCATTATACATACGAACATTGTGATATTTCCCAGTTTAATTTTGTAATTACTTTTTTTCTCATTTTTATTTTTTGGTTATTTTGCATATTCATTTGCATTTAAATATTATCAAGTAATGTTTGTGATAGTTTCGAAGTTATCTCATTTAAGATGATACATTTTATGAAACAGGTGTTATTTTTTCGTATACATGTGATAAAAACTTGATTTAAATGGACTGTAAGGACGTAATTTTTACACTGATTTAGCTTGCAGAGAGAAATATAGGTCAGCAAAATGAAACACCTTTTTGTTTTATTTCTTCTTGCTTGCGTCGTAAGTTGGATTCTTCTTAATTTTATTAGTATCAGTTTGTAATTCAATGAATATAAATTTCTAAAAAATTAAATAGTTTAAACTGTATAAAAATGTAAAGTTAGTTTGAGGATTGAAACTAAATACTCAAAATAAATTTGAGTAGAAATGAATAGAATCTAAATACTCAAAATAAATTTGAGTAGAAATGAATAGAAACTAAATACTCAAAATAAATTTGAATAGAAATGAATAGAAACTAAATACTCAAAATAAATTTGAGTAGAAATGAATAGAAACTAAATACTCAAAATAAATTTAAAAAAAATTATGCTCGAAGTAATAAAATGTGGTTAATTAAATAGTTGTTTTTAAAAATTTGCTTATATTTTTGTTTTGTTTTGACAGATTTAGAAAGGTTAGTCTATCAATCCAATTGTTTACTACTATCTGATTATTGTTTTTGTAAAATTCTTTGCAGTGATAAATGACTTAATTTTTAAGAATTTATTGTGAATTTTTTTTCATAAAAAAACGAATTCGAAAATTAAACATGCAAGCTTTTTCAGTGAGAAAATAATGTATTCGTGTTTACTTTAGCGTTCGAAAATAATTTTTCGCCCAGTACCGTTTTCGATGTTTTAGTTCGTAATCTAAATCTTAACATAGAGGACAAACTTTTTTTGAGAAAAAATAAAATACATTGTATTTACTGATTTTGTATGCATTGTATTTACTGATAGATCTATTATGAAATAAAATGCCTGTTTCGAAATTTGAACCATGTTTTATTTGTACTGGTTTTAATTGGAAAAAGATGTTTTGTAATTCGTTTCCCGAAATTGTTCTATACTGATAGGTTCTACAGTATGTTGATTTTTATAATTATTTTTTTTAAGTGCTGCAAAGAGTTCTTTTCTTTTCTCATTTTCATCTTAGAAAAGGAACTAAGACTATCACATGAACTGTCATATTGAAAAATCTTGAAAAATATACTCATACTTTTGAAATATCAAATGTTTTATTCTTGAAATCAACACATTGCTACGTCGTGTACACTAGTCAGCGATTTCCTTTTATTTATTTAACGGGTTAAACTAATAGGACAAAAGAAAGAGGTAACTATTTCTGAATTTGTACAAGATATGATTTTATAACGGAACAGAATTTGTGATGTTTGGGGAAATGTTTCTTACTAGTTCAGGTAACAACACAGCTAAAAATTCGATAAAATTAGGTTATTGAGTACCGGCACTTTGGGTGCATCATCCATAAAATTTATTTTACCGCAAAATCCATTTTACCGTAAAATTAATTTTTACCACAAAATCCAATTTACTGCAATATTCATTTTACCCTAAAATCCATTTTAGCCGCGAAATCCATTTTAACAGCAAAATCTAATTTTTGCAGTAAAATATTATACCGTAATTTATGTTTCAATATTTATTTAATTAAATTCAACGATTTTATGTTAATCATTACTGTAAAAATTACGGAGTATTAGGTTTTTTGTTCCGTAGTATGTTCCGGTAAAAATGAAATTCATGGTAAAAAGAACGGGTATGAACAGGTAGATTGTAAGATTGTACCGATTTGCCATTGTTGTAAGATTTTCCGGATCAAATTACTGTTAAGTGCCGGTACTTTTTACTCTAATTTGATCCGGAATTTTCTACAGTTCACTAACAAGAGCCAGCATTATGGTTGATTCAGTTTTTGTCTTAAAGTCAACCCTATTACATCTCTACTAACCTGCATAATCACCTGACTTCAACCCTTTAAAAAGTCTGTGGAACATGTTAGGATAGTGGGTAAAATGCCAAAATTATGATTTCTACTATTTGGCAGACTTTTATCATCAAACCCTCAGAGATTGTGTTCTTGGGTTGGGAAGTACTTGGCAAAATCTTGAGGTCTCAGTTTCTAACGGTTATACCCCAAACGGTTATTAAGTTTAGAGGCGGAAATGAACGGTTAAAAAAATTCCTTTAATTAATCCTTTAAAGATCACTAATTTTTCGCCCGGGGAGCTTATTTTCAACACAACTTTAACTGTTATTGGTAATTTGGGCTTGTTATAATAAGCTTTGGAGAATTGTTGCAGGTTGGAGTAAGTTTAGGTGATGGGTACTGTGGTTCTTTACCCCATTGTGGTGAAGGGATGTGCTGTTCAGGAGGATTCTACCATCGGTACTGTAGACGATTAGCTGATGAAGGTATGTAGTCTACTTTAAAAATTTATAAAATAAAAATATGCAAAAACATGTCCACCAGCAGCTGCAATAACCTAATGAATTTTATTATGTTTAAGGTATTTTTTTTTAAAATGCCATTATTGAAATGAAATATCCTTATCTTAGGTTTAAACTAAAACTTAGTGTGTCTTTTGTAGACGACATATTATTTCTATACTAAAAATAGTTTTTAAAAAGGAGTTACGTTTAAATTTGACGTAGTATGCTGGTTTAATGCCAAGAGCAATACAAATGAATAGAAAGAATTTTTTTATTTAGTTTGTAATTAACCATTATTTAATTAAAATAATGTTAATTTATTAGAGTAATACGCAAAAAAAAATCCCGTCTTTGTATTTTTAGACAAAAAAATACGTAGAGTTGGTCTGAATAGAACAGCTTATGAGCATATGCCTAAAAGTAATATCTAAAAAGAGAAAGACGTATAATATTTTTTTGATTTACGAAGAGATACAAAAAGATATAAAACATCCCGGAAATATTTCTTATTGCTTAAAAGAAAAAAAACATACTTTTTTTTTTGGAAAGTTTCTAAATAACGTTTTGCATCAAATTTCTGTTATTATGATATTTTTCAGTAAAAATCATAATAAAATGTTTAAATTTATGTATACGCATTCTCAACAATTACGTTAATAAATCTAATATTAACGTTTTGTTACTTACTTTTGAGAATCGGATACCTTTCAGTAAGAATCATCATAAAATGTTAAAAATGTTTAAGAATTGTTAATGTTTACCGTTAATAAACCTAATATTTACATTTAGATTCATACCTAAGCAATTAATGATACCTTTCAGTAAGGTAAGAATCATCATAAAATGTTAAAAATGTTTGAGAATTGTTAATGTTAACCGTTAATAAACCTAATATTAACATTTAGATTCATTCCTAAGCAATTAGTGATACCTTTCAGTAAGAATCATCATAAAATGTATAAAATGTTTGAGAATTGTTAATGTTAACCGTTAATAAACCTGATATTGACATTTAGATTCATTCCTAAGCAATTAATGATACCTTTCAGTAAGAATCATCATAAAATGTTAAAAATGTTTAAGAATCGTTAATGTTAACCGTTAATAAACCTAATATTGACATTTAGATTCATACGTAAGCCATTAATGATACCTTTTAGTAAATTCACTAATTAAATTTATGTATATGAATTGTTACAAATATTTTTGTACAACACTTGTAATGTTTAATTTACACGTTTATTGTAAATAGCCTTTTATTTGTGTTTTGCTTAACTTTTTATTAAATTTTTTTTCCTTTTAAATATTTGTTTTATTTCCCTATTCAGGTGAGCCTTGTGAACCTCGAAACAAAGCTGAAAATTACAAAGTGGCATGTCCATGCAGCGACGGCATGTTCTGCAGCGTAAGTTAATGCATGTTAACTTACTATCTATTGCATCTATAAAATAAAGCTAGTAAATTTTCCGTAAATCACGTGAAAGGTTATAGATAAATTTTAAAATAATTTCTTTAGAATTCATATAGTTATAAATTTTTATTGCTTTATAGTGGGGGCTATAGTGTTCTGGGAAAAAAAGTATGGTCAAAACTACCAGAATATATGGTAAAATTTACCATGTTTCTGGGTCTATGGAAAGACCAAAAATCTCGGTAATTTTTACCGAGGTGTTTTGGTAACGATGTTTGCAAAATTATTAATAAAATATAGTTTTATAGAGTGTGATAAAATTTGATTAACGTGGTAAAGTATGTAAATTTTATAATGATATCTCTGACCATGCAAAAAAAAAAATATTTACTCAGTCAAATTGACTTTTCAGTTTTGTTTTTCAAAATGCGTGGCAAAGAGAACTTTGGAAAACCAGAATTTTCGGTAAACCGTTGTCATATGAATGGAAAAAAATTACTAAATGTATGCTTTAAATTCCGGATATTTAATGCTTTATTTCCAAAATTATGTTTTTTTTTGTTGTCGCAAGAAATGTAATTAATTGGTAGTACACGAATTTTTTTTCTCAGTGTACTTAATACATTATGGTTAGTTAATACATTATACTTAGAATAGATAGTAACCACTTTTTTTTAAAAATTAATAAAGAGTGCCAAAGAAAAATTATGATATTTTTGGGGGTGATTCGATCGAAAGATTCTAGTGTCTGTTACGAAAAATATAAATCAATGAAACGATTTTTTTTATGTATTCGTTTTGTACACTCATTTACGATTAATCTCATTCAATGTTTATATACCACACATGAACAACTTATTTAACAATTGATACAATTATTTTGCGCATGTATTTTGATAAAAATGGGACCTTGATTTTTTCTATGCATAGTGTCATTTTATAAACACTTAGAACAGCAGATTGCTAATACTTATCCCAAAAATCATTATATAGGTAATCAACAGATGTCAAAAAGAGTAATATTTTTTTCTGAATCAATTGTAAGTATACATTCCTTTTGAATTTCAAGTAAAATTATATTAATAATTGAATAAGTTTTCATACATATTTCTATGAATGAAAAAAGTTTTTATTTATTATTCCGATAAATAAAAACCTTATAAAAAGTAAATTGTAATTTTATTTGCTTCAAACCTTTAACAAATATAACACAAGCATCAAATGGACCATCTATAGCAGGGATGGCGAACCAATGGCACGCGTGCCATTTGTGGCACTCGACACAATATTTTGGGCACGCCACCGATCACAAAGTTCACTATGAAGCATATTAACAATTAAATTAAAATTCACAAAAAATTAACGGAAAAAATTAACAATTAATGCTAAGAAAACAATTAATAACCATAAAAAAACTCCAAGCTAACAATAAATAACTAGCAAAAAAAATTAACAGTTCTGTTTAACTAACGTCTTATAACCTTAATATAAGTTATTTGTCATCTAATCTGCAACAACATACGTCACACTGATGTTACTTTATGTTGAATTACGCTTATAACTGAGACATTGCAAAATTTTTTTTTCGTAGTAAGCAAAGAGTTTTGAGTTGATAGTATTTAGTATTATTATTTACCCAATAATCACGAAGTCAAAACTATTTGTCGGCACCTCTATGACCTCATTAAACAATTTTTTTAGAAAACTTGGCACGTTGGTGCATAAAGGTTTGCCACCCCTGATCTATAGCATTATGACCTATAATACCATTATCATTTTAAATAGGTATGGATTAGAGGGTTATCGACGTGGGGTAAGGCGTTAAACCTTTAGTACTGGAAATAAAATTTATTTGAATATCTTTGTCAGGAAAATACATCACTATTTAGACAAAATAATTAAAAATCTATTTAGAACATTTATAATAAATACAAGGATGAAAAACTTCTAAATGTATTTATGTTAAATCAGTGTTTCCCAAACTTTTAACTTTGGCGTACCCTTTTTAAATGTTTTGTAACGCTGTGTACCACTATTAAAAAAATGAATGTATTTTTTACCATTAAAAATTGCAGAAAAGTTAAAAATCACAGCTAGCTGTTGACACCACTAATTACTAACTGTTAATTCTGCAAAAAATAGCCAATAGAAAAATACGTAATCGCAAACTAGCTCATGACTAGCTCTGTTTTTAAATAAAATTTTTTGAAATTTTCGTTTGTTGCAAGATATTTCGCATAAGAACGCGTACCCCCGCTAAACTGTTCCGGTACCCCTGGGGGTACGAGTACCACACTTTGGGAAACACTGTGTTAAATGATAAATACCCAACTACTTATATGTATACGGAAAGGAAAACACTTTTACACGAGAAAATATAAGGAAGTTAGAACAAACAAAAAGTAGATTTAATTGGATAAATCACTAAAATCATTTATTGAAATGAAAAAAAGAAATACTATTTCGACACATTAAGGATTTTTGTTTTATTTAAAATAGTTTGAATTTTCTGGAATGTGTTTTATTTTAGATTTCAATATATTTTTCGATTATTTTAGATTTTGATTTAAAATATGGAGTTACGAATGTAAAGTAACACAAATGAAGTATAACATTTACCCAGAATCTTCATAAAAATAGAAAATAGTGTATTCGTCAGTGAAGATTAAGTAATTATTTTAATGAAAGTTAATTTTACGGTAAAAATGGATTTTAGGATGAAATGGATTTTACTGATGATGCACCCAAAGCGCCAGTACTTTAGTCAGGAATTTGATCTAGAATTTTTTACAGTGTACAGTTCTGTTCTTAAAAATGCATTTAGATTACTTCAACATCAAAAGTGGGGGTAATTGTACAACAATATTTTTTACAGCTTAGAATTTCAGCGATATGTGGATACATTCAAATTAAAACTCATATTTTTTTACTAAAAATAGTTTAAATTTTCCGGAATGTGTTTTATTTTAGATCTCAATATATTTTTGATTATTTCAGATTTTGATTAAAACATGAAGTTAAGAATGTAAAGTAACACAAATAAAGTGCAACATTTACCCAGAAACTTCATAAAAATTAAAAATAGTGTGAATGAAAATACGTCAATGAAAATTAAGTAATTAATTTATTGAAAGTTAATTTTACCGTAAAATGGATTTTACGGTAAAATGGAATTTACGGATGATGCACCCAAAGCTCCGGTATTTTATACTGTAATTTGATCCGGAATTTCGTACAGTATACAGTTCTGTACTTAAAATGTATTTAGTTTACCTCAACACCTAAAGGGGGGAGGGGCATCTTTGCACCAATAGGGGGCTTTGCACCAACATTTTTTATTGAGTAGAATTTCAGTGATAAACACTCTAAAATTAAAAAAATTTAGGAATTTCCTTGAAATATTTGTATCTCAAAATTTAAAAATAAGTTAGCAAAATTTTTTGTAATATTATTATTATTATCATTTTATACAAAAGCATTCTTATTATTTATTTATTTATTATTTATTTATTTATTTATTTATTTATTTATTATTTATTTATTTATTTATTATTTATTTATTTATTTATTATTTATTTATCTAATATTTTTTTAATCACAAGAATTTTCCTAAACACAGTTTTTGTTGGGAAAAATGGTAAGTGTTATTTGTTAAGTGAAATTATTTTGTGAACATTATTTACAGATTATTCCTGTTTTTTATTAACAAATAAGATTATTTAATTTTTAATCTTACCAACCTATTTACCTTCAGATTATTTTCTATTTACCTTTTCGATTACCTTCAGATTATTAAATTTACCCAATATGTATCCTTCAGATTATTTTCTATCACGTTAATCTTGTTCTCTAACTTTGTTACATTTTTGTCAAAATTGTCATTATTGAATCAAAAGAGATCTTTTACACAATTATGTTTGCAATTAATTATAATTTTTCTTGACTGAATATAAAACGGGAAATGTTTATTTGAACCTCACTACATATTATGAAATTATTCATTAATAAATGATGTTATTATTTACTCTTTTTGTTTTTTAGAAGTCAAAGAGATGCATTAAGAAACCATTTTAGTTGTTAACAGTATGTGCTGTATGCATATATTGTACAGTTGAACTAAATGTAACAATGAAAATAAAATATTTTTTGATAATGTTCTCTGTGTGGTCGAATTTAGTACATTATTTTATACTTTAAATGCGATCAAAGCATTTGGTGCTTATAGTAAGAATCCAACAAGTTTTGAAATCTGCAGAATCTTTTCATGCTACTATTTCATTGAATTAACACAAATAGTTTGTGATATATTTGTTAATTTTTTAAATTAATTTATTAACTACATATTTAATTGATAGGTGATAGATGGAATTTTCGTATTGTCTTAATATTTAAAAAATGAATAACAACTGAAAATGTTGAATTAAAGAGAAACCCTGTCTGTATCAATATGTCATTTTTGTTCAAAGCAGAAATTAAAAAAAAAAAAAATTCAAAATGGAAAGTGAAATCTCCCGACTTAACTATAGAAACAATTTTTACCGGATAGCGAGTACTCGATATTTTGAGACACATAAATTCGAATCCGCCGAATACAGGACATATTTGCTGAAAGAAAGAATGTTTCGTTTCTGTAGCAATATAAAATTAACGTATGCATTAATTAATTAACATATTTTAAGGTTTAACTCACGAAACATAATATTGTGTCTTTGTACGAGAAGATAGGATCATTGAATCAAAAGTTAATCAGGACATCTGTTTTTTTATCGCACAGTACACAAATATAATGCCAATAATCGATATTGAGATGTACGTAACATAAAATATGGATGAATCAGGAAAAAACTTTCATTAGTAAAAGGTTATTTTATAAATAATGTTATTTTGTAACTAACTATTTAGGAAATATTAAAAAAAAATTGAAGTCTTATTAAATATAAATACTGCTAGCTGATTGAAAACCCTGAACTTTTTAAAAGTAAATTGCCTCTTTTATTGTGTAATTTTTTTTCCTTCTAACAATGGAGCAAGCATTAAGAAAAATTAAAATCTGCAGGAATTTATGACATGAATTTATTGTTATGAATTTATTGTTAGTATTTATTAAATGTGATTATAGTTAATAGATTAAAAAGTGAATGAAGATTTACGATTTTTCGTTGCAGATAAAATATGATTAAAAATTATATTACATATTTAAAGAAACGATAATTTTTGTTTAGGTAAATTTTCTATTACTTTTACAAATTTTAAATCACTCAATGAGGTACTATATTAAACCCATCAATGAGTTAGTAGTATTATTCGTTAAATTCTGTGTAATAAAGTAATATTAATGTGACATGATCGTTTTTAATTTCACCTGGCAGTATTTATTTACATTTTATTTTTCGGATATTTGATTTATATCAAATTTTTCAACGAACATTACTGTGTTATTCGTTTTAAATCTCTTATCAATAATTAATAGTAACAGACCGACAGATGGAGCCACTACATTTTCAGCTTGATATTAAATGCAATTTTATTTTTTAAAATTTAAAAAAATTAAAATAATAAATTTGAAACAAGAAATAAATATAAAAAATCGTCTACGAGTAATTAGTATTTTGTAGAATGCGCAATCTCTCACTTTTTATCTTAAAATTAAAATAAATAAATAAAAATAGTGGTGTGATGAATAATAATCATATTAATATAATTCTTATGATTTTTTTTAGGTTTCTGAGAGAAATAAAATAATTTTGATTCATTTACACATTTAAAACTTTCATACTCGTTTTTACTTTATCGATAATGAGTTTAAGCGAAATGAATCTACAGTGCTAATTTGGATATTGCATTACAATGTTATATAGTTACTATATTTAGTTTCTGTAAGGTTAATGTATTTAATTACTCTAAGGTTACTGTGGATTTTTCGATATTAGCTTTATGTTTTAAAAAAGGGGTTTGACTAACACAGTATTTATTTGGATATTTATTTACTAAATTTGAATAATTTTATTAAGTATTTACTTTATTTAAAATTTTTTGCTCATTTTATTGGTTAAACTCGATTATTTATTGTTCAAGGTTAGTAATTTTTTTAACAATTAGCAATTTTACAGCTTGTACACACATATGGTTGGTCATGGGAATAGTGTGGACACAAGCAACTTCTTTTTTTAAAAATAAATAACTAAAAAGATTATTAAAAAAGTATACGTTCAAATTACATGATGTTTACTGCAAAGTGAGGATAAATGCTCAAACATTTAAAATAATCTTAAATATATTCAAATAAGCGATTGATTTACGGAAGGGCATTCGAGCACGTGTCCAGGACACATAAATAAAGGCACATAAATAAAGGCAATTACATAAATAAAGGCCAAGATAGCGTGGTTGGTAGGAAGTTGGGTTCGTGTTCGTGACAACGTTAGTTCGATTTCCGCCGGCCGAAGAATCCCCGTGTATTAAATGGTGCCTAGTGCACGTGAAATCTAACAGGGTCACAAAGTCCTCCAAGTTCCTATAACAAATCAATACCTCTAGGGATACTGAGTTGGAGATTGATTGTTCTCCTGTTCAGGTTAAAATTACTATCTGTGGATGAATAAATGGAGTATGATTGGTCCACCCTGTAAAACGGGCTGTGACGTGTGTGACTGAAGTCGTATTCGTAGCTATAGATGGTGCCACTGAAAAAATAAGAAACGCACCCACAGCCTTAAAAATTCGCCTGATTTCAGGCAGGCTTCCTGGTATTGGTAAGTGACATAAATAACAGCAACATAAATAAATAAAAAAATATCTTTCCTTATTTATTTTACCTAGCTTTGTCTTTAACTTGTAAATATCTTCACATTTTTTCTTTTGTATTTTCATATTATAACGTTAGCCTTCATGCAAATATTAAAAAATGTGAAATATATTTAATTTAAGTTGTTTTCATTTCCAAAAATTATTATTACCTCAAATAAACTTGATAAATAGTGTTTTTTTTTATGTAAATGATGCATCTTACGAATGATTTTTTGGAATGCTCAAGATACTTTGCTAGGTACTTATTACGAATGTCTTGTTTTTGACATAATTTTTATCATTCTCACATAATTTTTATCATCTGCTAAAAGATTATTTTTTAATATTGTGATTAAAAATCATGCATGATGGACAGTAGATTGCGTCTACTCTTCGTATTTCGAGAGTCAAGAACTCAAATCTGTCGAAAGAAGGTAAGTTTATTCAGAAAGCGTATATGTTTGGGTTTGATTTTGTAACTTAAAACAATAACAAGCATCATAAAACCGGAAGAAATATAGGAAACTTCCGGTGTATCCCTTCGCTTATATTACGTTTGTTGGCGATGTGTGAACAGGCTGGATATTCTAGGAAGTTTAATTATTGTAATTTGTGTTTAAATTTACGAGAAATTTAACCATTCATAAGAGTTTTCTATAATTTATGTATCGGAAGTAATAATCTGGAGTTTTTATGACAAATAGTAACCCCATGCCATCCATAGAATAGGTTAACCATTCATAGAATATTTTGGCCCATTTAAGGTTAGGTGCTCCAATAATTAAAATTGCATCTTAGTAGGTAAAAACAAATCATTAGATCAAGAGTTATTAAGATGTACCCATTTTTATTTTGCATAATTTCACTGGCCAAAAAATCCCTTTTTGTTAATTGGTGACAGGTGCACATGAAATCTGCCTGGATCACAAAGTCCTTCAAGTTCCCATTACAAATCATTACCTCTAGGGGCATTGAATTGAAGATTGATCACTCTCTGGTTGAGGTCAAAAATACCATCTGTGAATGAATGAAGTATGATTGGTACTCCCTATAAAACAGGCAGTGGCGTTTGTGTGGCTAAAGTCGTACTCTTGGCCATAGATGGCGCCACTTTAAAAAAAACAAGAAATGCATTAAAAATTCGCTTGATTTCAAACAAGCTTGCTGATTGGAAAACGGCATAATTAACAACAATTTTGCATACTTAAAATTGATTTTACCCCGTTTATTTTAAATTCTAAGAGTGGATACACAAAAAATCGTTTTTGAATTCAATATTTTTCATATTTTTCCCGCAAACATATGTAGAACATCCTTAAAATACGAACCCAATTCAATAGACTTCAGATAACACATTTCAGATTTAAATTTTCAGACTTTCAATATGACATTTTGGAATGCATTATTAAAACATTCTAAACTCTATGACATATTTATTGTTATATTATCAATTTTTTTTAAAAGTTCCTTATCAATGTCAAATTGAGCCACTGGAATTTCTGCAACACAATGATGAATATTCAAACATTTAAATGCGTCTTCGATACTTAAGAGACGGTTTAATGTTTAACATGTTGCATCCCAGATGTTAATAGTTACATAACCAGGTGTTCCATTTTTCAATTGGTTCTTATAAATAGGAACTGCAGTGGTTTTGGAATTTTAGTTTTATCTGTATAAAGGAAAAACATTGATTTTAACAAAATGAGTTACCTAGCAGCCTTGATTTTTGTGGTCTGCGCTGTAAGTAAAGCTTATTATATAATTTTTTCATTTTAATTTCAGATTTATTAATAGCAGTTATTTGATTCGTTGAACATTTAGTAATTGTAATTTTTTATTTACATTTATATTAAATAAATAAGGTTATTTAGATTAATCAATTTTATAAGCATATATATTTAATACTAGTGGGCTGCGTCCCCTGCTCGCTAACGCTCGCCAACCCCCGAAAATTGCTACGCAATATTATATGGTTTGCTTCGCAAACCAAGTTCGCTTCGCTCGTTACTAACTTAGGAACATTGCAAATGCACAAAATTCTAAGAATTCAAAACAATCATTCAAATCCATCTAAAAACGTTTTTTTATTTTTAAAAATTACATCTTTTTAGTAAATACTAAGTCATTAAAATAAATTTGAATTCAAATAAATGACATGTAATTCGTTAAACCTATTAGAAATGTGCTACAGGATAAAATCTTAAAGCGTAACAGCACGACTGAGACTCATTTTTTAATGAATAACTAATAACAATAATAAAACAAGTAAATTCGTGATATAAATCAAAAACCGCCAAATAAATTCGTAATACATAAATTTGTGAAAAAAAGCGCTTTCGACAAAATACTAAAATAGAGATCTATCGAC